CTAAACCACAGATTTTCAATGCAGACCAAACAGCCTTATATTGGAGGATGGCGGCATAGAGCTTTCATAGCTAGAGATGAGAAGTGAAACCTGAAAATGTGACTGAATTGTTGCAACCTCATGATCAAACTTGAGTGGATGAGTTGCTTCTTATGGATGATCAAAGAAAGTGGTGTTCTGAGAGGGACTCTACTTCTGATGAAGATGTTTGAAGATTATTGACATGACAGCAAAGGATTTAGATTATTATATAAACTTAGTTGATAAAACAGCAGCAGGGTTTGAGAGGATTGACTCCAATTTTGAAGGAACTCTAATGTGGGTAAAATGTTATCAAACAGCACTGCAAGCTACAGAGAAATCATTTGTGAAAGGAAGAGTCAATCGATGTGGCAAACTTCATTTTTGTCTTATTTTAAGAAATTGCCACAACTGCCCCAGCCTTCAGCAACCACCACCCTGCTCAGTAAGCAACCCATCAACATCAAGGCAAGACCCTCCACCAGCAAAAAGATAAGAACTGGCTCATGATGATTCATTAGCATTTTTTTAGCAATGAAGTAAGTATTTTAAAATTAAGGTATGTACATTATTTTTTCAGACATAATGCTGTTGCACACTTAATAGTCTACAGTATAGTGTAAACATAACTTGTACATGTCTGGGAAACCAAAAAATTAATTTGACTCATTTTATTGCAATATTTGCTTTATTATGGAGGTCTGGAACCAAACCCACAGTATCTCTGAGATATGCCTGTCTTTATATTCTTTTTTTTTTTAAAGATTTTATTTATTTATTTGAGAGAGAGAATGAGATAGAGAGAGAGCATGAGAGGGGGGAGGGTCAGAAGGAGAAGCAGACTCCCTGCCGAGCAGGGAGCCCGATGCGGGACTCGATCCCGGGACTCCAGGATCATGACCTGAGCCGAAGGCAGTCGCTTAACCAACTGAGCCACCCAGGCGCCCACCTGTCTTTATATTCTAATGGTTCCTTTTCTCTTTCTGCTTGGAGGGATGCTATTTCTTCTTTAATCAAGAAAGTAGACCCTGCCCCATTTCTTCCATGACTCTGCTCTTCTTTCTCTTTTCTATCCCAAGATCATGCACTACATGTAATTAATTAGTATCTTCTTAATGCAATTGCTAAAGAACAAAATTTCTTTCATTCTTTGTGAAATTCCTCAAAACCCAGTATCTATAGGAAATTCTCTTCAGTTAAAGAAATGTACAAATGAATGAGAAATATGTTTAGTGGTCTTCCTTTCTCTGACACCTGCATACCTCTACACACATCGTATCACCCTTTTGCATCAAATACAGACACATATATATTTCCTTGTCCCGTTTCACATCCCTTTATCTAAGATGGTGAGGTCCAGTATATCAAAAGAGTCAATAAATATAAGCTGACAATTGTTGAACATGCATTTTTTTCTCCTTGTTTACTTCCATTTCAACATTGTTTTAATGCACATGTGAGACTACTCTATATGTTAGCCTTTACACTCTCTTAAAATATATGTTATATATTGGACATTTCAGATACATAGTTCCACTGAGATAGACTCAAGTTAGAAAATATTGCAATGGTACTAATTTCTTATTAAAGCTGGTAATTGAGGGAGCAGTTAAGACTGATTAAAAGGTAAGGGAAAAAATTCTAGAAGATGCAAACAAATAGTACATCAGATAAAAATTTAGGGGGCTACAAAAATTACATTTATATCCTCATATTCATTTACTGTATTCTAAACATGAGAAGGATGTTAGAAAAAGTGTGTGTATAAGATTTTGCAACCAATTTTTTCAACATATATATTAAAATACATCTCACAACTTGAAGAATTCATTCTGTTACTAAAAGCTACTTCCTTCAATTCAGCTTCTTCTTTGTGTACATTTTGGAAAGTCATTTCTGGATCTTATCATTCTTCCCTAGAGACCCTGCTTTTGGCAATTACAACTCAGCAGAAAAAAATCCTGAACACATGCTCCATACCTTTTCCAAATATGAGTTATCTACCTCTGTCTATTGTGAGCCTCTTAGACAGGGATGATATACTAAAGTTTAAATTCAAGATTTTCAGGCTAAATTTTATTTTAAAAACTTAGTCTTTTAGCTTACTCATCTAGAAATGCTGAAACAATGAACCTAAAAGATCTTATTTTATTATAAGCATTTAGGAGCAACTTGGGTAACAGCTATTCTAGTGGTAGGAAAAATCAAGCCTTTATCACTTTATTGTATTATCTTCATATATCTTAATAAATATTTATAATATATATCTCAGAATCTAAATGAGAAGACTCCAAGTAACATTATTATTTTCATGTGATGTTTGATATGGTGGCCTGTCCAGAGTTCATTATTACTTTTCTATTTGGTTTCTTTGTGTTCAAATAGAAAGTTTGGTAAGTTATCATCAAGAGAAGTTAAGAAAAATATCAAGTTAGAGAAGTAAGAAATGAAGGGAGAAGTGGTTTCCCTCTTATGTTAAATTTCTGGGCCACTTGAGAAAAATTTTTTGAGACATATACAAAGATGAATAAAGATTAAACAAAAGTGGAACTAAATCTGGGATTATAAATGTGATCTACCTAAATTTTTCTAGTTGGATGAAGTTCTCTTAGTAAATGTAAAATGTCACTGTATCCTATCCAGAGAGAGAAAAAAAAAGACCAGAAGAAACTTTTAAGTCAAGCTTATGTCACAGGTTATTATTTTAAACTTCTTGTGGCATTATTTATCTTATCTATAGCTGGTTTTAAAAACTGACATTTTCAATGTTACTATTTAAGCCAAGTCCTAGCAAAATATATTAGAAGACCACATTCTCAAATGAAAAACTAGTATCATAATTTAATTTTTCTATTGGATAAGGTTTTCTTCACTTACATTTTTAAAGTCAAGTATACTGAATGCTGATTAGTAATGTAGAATCTTTGTGAAAGAATAATATGAACAAGGACCACCTGTAAGTCATTAAATTTCAAGAAAATATAGCAAATATAAGTAAATGTACAGCTATGGGAGTTTACCAACAAGTCGAGTGATGAAATATTGTATTTCCAAATCCAACTTTTAAAATTTAAGATGTTTTAAATTAATTGGTAATGAATGCCAGAAAGACCTTTTTCACTAGCCAACTTTCATTCCTTAAACCTAATTTTAATCAAAACCTCTTACAAATTTACAAAAGCTTGAAGTTCCCTTTAAAATCATCCATGTCTTCAAAATTTTTATCACATTAACTATTGGATTACTAATAGCAGCAGTAGGCTGGATACATTCTGATAATGGCCAATTCTTTTGGTATAGTGAAAGATATTTTGCAAAGTACCAGTGACCCAAGTTCTTTCTTAAATGATCAATGTTCGAGTTTGCACAACACTCTCCTCTCTGTTCCCACTGAATTTTGTTCATGTATCTATAATCTTCCTTTTGTATATGATATTGTGATCGTCTATTTAAAAATCTCAACCCTCCACTGGACCCTGATTATGCCTTCAGGATAGGGAGAGTACCCTATTCAGTTGTGAATCCCCAAGACTTAGCACTGTGTGTGGCCACAAAGTAAAAATTCAATAAAACCATGTTGAATGAATGAATGAATGAATGAATGAATGAAATAAAGCAAAGGAAGTTCAACTACAGAGGCAGCCAAACTCCTTTCAAGCTGCAATTCATTGAGAGGATCATTTATTGGCTCAAGAGAACTACCAATAGGTACATAAAGCTACATAACTATCTTTGTAGGTAGTGGAATGGAGGACATTAGTGAGAAAGATGGAAGATTATATTTTAAAGGACCACAGCTGCAGATCTTCTAAATTGAAGCTTAATTACCCTAAAACATTATATTAAATGGTATATTTCTTCTGGGCAATCAAAAGACTTCAGAACAAGCTCTAACACAGAGTTATTATTATTTTTTTAAGATTTTACTTATTTGAGAGACAGAGAGAGCACAAGCAGGGGGAGCAGCAGAGGGAGAGGGAGAAGCAGGCTTCCCACGGAGCAGGGAGCCTGATGCGGGGCTCGATCCCAGGACCCCAGGATCATGACCTGAGCCGAATGCAGATGCTTAACTGACTGAGCCACCCAGGTGCCCCTCTAACACAGTTATTTACTATTGATCTAATAGGTTCTATAATCTGGTTTATAAAGTTAGTGTAACATGAAAATAATCTGGGGATCAAATGTCATTAATGCTTGTATTATATATGTAAAATATAGCCTTGGTGATTTATTTCAAATGTAAAGTCAGAATTAGAAACATATATTGGGGCGCCTGGGTGACTCAGTCAGTTAAGTGTCCAACTCTTGGTTTCAGCTCAGGTCATGATCTCGTGGTGATGGGATCAAGCCCTGCATTGGGCTCTGTGCTCAGCAGGGAGTCTGCTTCAGATTCTCTCCCCCTCTCCCTCCCACTAACTCTCTCTCTCAAATAAATAAGTACATCTATAAAAAAATACTGTAGAAACATATATCCATTTAAATATTTTTAAAAATGCTATGTAACCTTTAAAATATCTTTAGCTACAAAAGCTTACAAACTAATTGTACTACTTAGATTTGTAGGCAGTGGAAAAAAGAAGTAAGTTTATGGCTGGTGTCTCTTCACTATGGTCTTGTACCAAATGGTATGAGATCTTGCGTTTATGAAGTTTCTCAAAAGTTTTTTAGGTACTAAGAAGGATGATAAGAAAGATAATGACCCAAAAGACAAATATAGGCCTAAAAATCTATAACGCATCCCTTTTCATCATGATCTAATTAACACACATCTACAGTAGTTTATAGTTTTGATATCAGACTCTATTTTTAAAAATTGCACATCTATATTCTGTAATTTACAGCCAACATATGCTTTGGTTGGTATACATTTTGGGGTTTTAGATACAAGCAATAGCATTAAATGTTTCCTAAGAAATAAGTGAAATTTGCTTCAAATTCTGAGACTTCAAAGAAGTACATTTTGCTAGTAATGATTGTACCTCGTTCTCCTTTCTGACACTTCTTTCTTTGCACTGTACACTTTCTTGTCTCAGTGGTGGGGGGACACAGGTTACCCTTTGCTGATGGATGCTGTGTTATCTCTCGGACCCGTGTTTCAGTCCCTCTTTTGAAACCACATGTTTTTCCTTTCTTCATGCATGGACTCCAAGGACTCCATTCACTTGCCTCACAGTGCACTGAAACAGAACAGCAGAAGCAGGCTCAGCGGGCTCACAGATATTTTCACAATTGTTCAATAAACAAAAAGGTTTGCTTCTATGAATACTTGCTCAAATTCTGAGAAATCCTGTAGAACAAACTTGGGCAAGATGACTTAAAGAAAATGAAGAGAAAGGGAAAGGCAGGAATATAATGTTTTCATGTTTTTAGTGCTCATAATGTCAGGTAAATTCATTCTTGCATTAGGTTTACTTTTCACTGTAGATTTATAAACCTAGGCACTAATATAATTACTCACAATTGACCAATGTTTCATAATTCCTAGAGCACTGCTACAGTTATTGATTGATCCTGACCATAACTTGATAGACTAGTCATTATTATGTGCTACAGATCTGCTTCTCAATCTTCAGTGTGCAACAGAATCACCTGGAGGGCTTGCTGAGGCAGACTGCTGGATCCCACCCTTAGAGTTTCTGATTCAGTTGTCTGGGATGGGGCCTGAGAATTTTCATTTCTAACAATACATGTGGTGCTGATTTACAGGTCCAAAGAACACACTTTGAGAACTTCAGTGCTAGAGAATGGTTAAGCAAAAAAGGCATCCAGGTTGTTGGCCTGGATTCACTGTCTTTCATGTGCAGTTGAATACTTAAATATTATCATTTATTAACAGGTATGGTTCAGGCATAGCAGCATCTATTTTAAGTGGATTCTGGGTCAATTTCAGCTGATAAACTGCTTCTAGAATTAACTTGAAGGAGTGATTTCTAAGATGAATGGATTAATTTTTCTAAAGCTTCTGTAGATTTTTTCCCCCTTTTTCTGTATGTTTTAATCTCTCCTTTTCAATCATGGCTTTCCAGAGTCTTGTAACAGATTTCTGCACTTCTCCTTCTTCTTTTTTTAAAATATTTTATTTATTTATTTGACAGAGAGAGACACAGTGAAAGAGGGAACACAAGCAAGGGGAGTGGGAGAAGGAGAAACAGGCTTCCCACTGAGCAGGGAGCCCGATCCCAGGACCCAGGACGACTGAGCCACCCAGGCGCCCCAGATTTCTGCACTTCTAACAAAAATAAGTATCTGCAAGATACTATTATTCTATTTATGTTCATACAACTTCCTAATTTGCAATAACTGAAACAGCTTTAGATGATATAGGATTCTTTCCACAAAACATGTTTCCATTAACTTTTCTTGCTGCCTTCTGATTTAAAGGATCCTTATTTTAGAGCAGAATTCTGTCTTTCATGCAACCCCCAAAAATATAACCTAAATGTTTTAGAAACTTAAATTCTTTTGCCTTACATTTTTTCACATGCTTTTATAGTTACCATCAGGTATCTGAAGGTAGCACAGAGTTAAATGTAAATGACTAAATAAGTGAATTTAAGTTTCTGTGAACTTAAATGAACTTTACTGAACCACTCTTAAGCTAGTTTTCATGTTCAGTTATAACATAATGATTTTAGTCAAAGAATAGAGCAATAGGGGCGCCTGGGTGGCTCAGTCAGTTAAGCGTCTGCCTTTGGCTCAGGTCCATGATCCCAGAGTCCTGGGATCAAGCCCCACATCGGGCTCCCTGCTCAGAGGGGAGTCTGCTTCTCTCTCTGCCCCTCACCCTGCTCTCATGCTCTCTCTCACACTCTCTCTCTCAAATAAATAAATAAAATCTTTTTTTAAAAAAGAATAGAGCAACAAAGTCACTTAATGATATTATATCTTTTACCAATTAAGGACATATCTACCAACCTGATATTAATGATGCAAAAGCAGTGGATTTTTAGCACAAACAAATAAAACCACCTCCAAGAAAGCAAATGGAAAAATAAAAATCAAAGTTTGTGAGCTGTCACTTTGTCTAGTATTCATTTATTGCCAGAACCAAGAGGACTAAATTAGAAAAAAAAAATTACATGATGTGAAAATGACCCGAGTATTAGTGCTTTTTCACAATTGCAAAGGTGGTCTAGGCAAATGCGTATTTAGACTTCAGAAAAAAAGATTTTTAAAATTATAGCTAGGAATCCTTAGTCAGATGATAAATGGTTCTAAAATGAAATTCCTTTTTTTTTTTTTTTTTTAAGTAGGCTCCACAGTCAGCATGGAGCCCAACATGGGGCTTGAACTCACAACCCTGAGATCAAGACTTGGGCTATGATCAAGAGTTGGATGCTTAACTGACTGAGCCACCCAGGTGACCCTAAAATAATGAAATTCTAATGACAGTCTTAGATAATTCCATTGAGGAAGAAGGAGGGAAAATATTCAAAACTTATGAGTTCAGATATTAAAAAGTTCTAATAAAAAGGGATAGTTAAAAAGCCTTGAGAGGAAGGGAATTTTTCCTAGAGAAATACCGTAGTATGAATCTATAATATTAGTTTCTAAAAATATTTCTGGAAAATTGGAAACTTTGGAAAACATGTAAAGATAACAAAAAGGGTTATTTAAGTTACATTCGGATCATTAAATGAATGGTACAGAACTGGGACATCATTGGTTAAGAGGTAATTAAGAAAAAAAATTACTCACTTTCTCTATTTCTTCTATTTTGTGTATTAAAAACAATATTAACACTGGAACTCTTTAACTATTCACTAATGAAGCAAGGGTCTCAAAAAAGTCATTAGCCTCCTGTCCCCGGAAGTGGTCACACTGTGGTAGTCTGGAATGCTCTAAGAGGGATTCTTGAATTGGGAGAAAAGCTGAACTGGATGTTTCACCAATAATGACCTTACAACACCATTACCGTTTACCCTCATTTCTGTTGACCAGTTGCATGGTTCCACTGAGAACATAACAAGGGCACATTCCTGTTTACTCACTGTTTAAAGTTGGATATCTCCTTCTGTGAATACTTGAGTAAGGCCAACTCTCCAAGAGAAGAATAAGGATGACACAAAGACAGTGCAGAAAGGAAGCAAATATCTAGAGCATGAAGTAGAAGAACTATATTCTCCTATAAAATTGGGTTCAATGGACAATTTATGCCAAATTTGACAGCAAACCATGAAGAATGGATACGTTGAGATGTAAGTCTTTCACCCTAGCTCTATATCAGAGTGGCATTTTCCCTGTTTATGAACTTTCCTCTTAATAATAATCTGGGTAATCGCTTCTCAGCCTTTTGGCTAAGATCAAGTGTAGTATCTGTTCTTATCAGTTTAATCATAATCTGGGTAAGAAACAGGTCGCACAATGTAGATTTCACAAAGGGAGGGACACATTCTTCAATATCTTCGGTGAGCACCAGAGAGCTAGAGTCAAGATACTAATAATAGCACTGACAATAACTCATACTGTGTCCTTGGAATCATTATTTCAAGTTCTTGGTCCTAGTTTCATATCTGTTAAAGGAATAAGCTTTAATGTTCCTTTGTGATAAGCAAGCAGGTCATCATTTCTCGTGAAATTCTGGGGCAAGCCCAGTTATGGCCTACCTACTGCTTGTTGGCTAGACAGCACATGATGGGAGGCATCCCTTATGGCAAGCAACAAGAGATAGCTCTGAACAAAAGTTGTGGATTTGCACTATTATCGGGTCCTAGGTCATTTATACCTAACTGTTCAATGAGCCAGATTCACTAAATAGCTTTTAGATTGCTAACCCCTATTCTTAAACATATAAATTTCTTAAATTTAATTGTGTTAAATAGTTTTTGTCTAAATAGTAATATAAAATACCAGTCAGCTTTACTAGTTAATCTAACAATGCCAGGTGCTAAATGCTCTCTATGATAGAAAAACATTAATACATTTAAGATAAACAGCCTTTCAAGGACTGAATGCTACACTTTCAACAACTAAGAAAATCTAAACATGCTCCCCTTTTCTTGGGTAGAGAAATACCACAAACTTTTTGCAACTTATCCGAATTTCTGTCTTTGAATACTACACAGAACTGTTTCCTATTTCTTCCACAGTTTGGAACTTATTACCTTTAATCATCAGCCCTCAGGACTTACAAAGAGATGAACTTGAAGTGCTTTCTCATGTACGTTTTACTCTATTTCTAAGTTGTTTCTCTGCGTCTTTATTGACTAGAGGAAAAAAAAAAAAAGACTAAACCAAAATGAACCATGAACTGTTTCATGCTTGCTGTTTTCCAGATGCTTCTGAAATTATCTTTAAAATGTCATCTATTCGTTTCGTTCTCCTACAAAGTTTGTTTAAAATAAGTGTTTCTTGTGGACCTGAAACAGTTAAACCACCACTTTAGAGTATTACTCGAGCACTTTTGATTCTAATGGATCTATCTGTGGGGACCCCAGGGGAGTCCTGGAGACGATCTTGTACTGAATCAGGAGGACATTTGTGTGCCAATATCATTGCAGCATCAAAGGTTCTTGTAGCTCTTGCCCAGGGGATTCTGAGATTTAGTATGCTGTTTTCCCATTTGGTTTAGCATCTGCTCCCCAACTGTTCATCAAACTCATAGCTGTAGTAGCTGTGCAACATTTAAAAGAGGGAAAATAGAGCCTGACAGTGATCTGTTATTTAGACAAACAACTGGTCTGAGGGACCTCCCCTCCAGAAAATTCAGCCTGCATTTAATCAGACCCTGTGACTTGTGTCCTTCTGTCAATTTGAGTGAGTCCCAAATCCTCTCCTTGTTTCTAAATACCTGTGCAAGCAGGACATTTCAGCAAAGCAGTGCGAGAGAAAAAAGTCAGATTTTTAACTATGTGAGGTCCAGTTCTGTAGATCTTTGGCTCATCTACTGAGTGTCAATGGGCTATATCCAGAGAATGCTTTCTCCCCTTGGAAAACAACATTGCTCACTGCTTGACATTAGACCTAGGTGTTTTGTGAAACTCTTGTCCTAATGTGGAAATTTATTTTAAGACCAAATATATACGTGTGTGTGTGTGTGTGTATATCTCATATAATACATATGCAAGTATGTCTATAATAAATTACTGTAAGTAGAACTTCACTGTATCATAATGATACAAAATAAATATTTAACGATCAGAATAGCTGAAACAGTTACCAGCAGTCTCTAAGAAATAATGGAGCACCCATGGGGTGTAAATTGTATTGTGATACATGCTGGGTAAGGCTGTGGGAACTCTGCTAAGATGGTATCTTTGTAAGGAAGGATGAAGAAAGCGTCTTGGAAATAGTCCCTCAGGTAGTTGTGAAATAGGACTTTAAGCAGCACTTCCATGGAGACTGAAATTATCATCTGAGGTGTTTCTCTTCCCCTGTAAATCTTAGAGATCCTTCTCACCAATACTGACGCACTCCATGGTATGGTTGTTGGCTTCCAACCCTTCTGGGCAATTGTCAAGGCACTTTCCAAGGTGTAAGTAAAATCCACTTTTACACTTTGTGCAGAAATTTTTGTTGAAACAGGTATCACAGTCAGCTTTGCATTCTGAAAGAGAAAAAAGGAAAGAAATATGCTTTCATTATCTTCACTTACCTATTGCTGGTCCAGGTCTGTATGCTTACATCACAGGTACATGTGACTTTGGTGTCAAACACATTTAGGATTCAAAATTAATTTGCTAGACTGAATTACGGATTCCTTCACAGTCATTTAGTTGATGTACATCAGCCATTGATTTCAAAATTATTGTACTGATAGCCCTATGAAAAGTTTTTGGCAATATGTCTACTGCCAAAAATGTTTATAAGAGCAAGTATCTATTTATATTAAATGACAGCAAAAAGTTTTTCATCAGAGCTTTAATGAAATATACTAGATATTGCTTTTCGGCTGTTTTGGGAGTCTATTCGTTCATTCAACAAATATCTGATTGTCCACTATGTGCCTAGTACTATTCTAGAGATTGCTTGACAGCAGTGCATACAAGAGATAAGGACTTCACAGAGCTTACATTTTAGGAGGGGCGACACAGTAAACAATAACAACATTTGACCCTTACATGGTGATTACTATAAGTCAGATACTGCTGCAAGTATTTTATAATATTAAGCCACTTAAGAGGTTTAAGTTGTGGAGGTTATTGTGAGGACAATCACCCAGGGAGGTAGCCCCTATTATAACTTCCATTTTACAGATAAGGAAACTGAGGCTCAGAAAGATTATGTAACTAGCCCAGGACCATAGAGCAGAGTGGTTTTGGAAACCAAGCAGTCTAGTTCCAGAGTGATAAGTGCTCTGGAAAGAGTAATGACGACAATAAAAGGTAGGAGAAAGATATGGCAAATGACTGATAAGGGGAGAAGGTTGACTGTTGTGAGTAAGCTGGCCATGGAATGCCCCCGGAGAAGGTGACATATGAACAGAATCTTGAATGAAAGAAAAGAGCCAACCAAGGAAAGATGCAGGCAAAGAGCTTTCCAAACTGGCAGAACAGTGAGTGTAGAACAGTAACTGCAAAGGCCTTGAGGTGGGAAGATCTTGCAAGAAGCCCAGTGAGGTCAGCGCAAAATGACTGCAGTTCAGTCACAGGAGAGGAGTTTGAGAGGAATTTAGATTCTTAAAAGTTACTGGGTCTACGGTGGGGAGAGCAGACTTCCAGGGTCCAGAGGAGAGGAGATATGAGAGTGTTTTCAACATTTATTTCCAACAGATAGATAAATGTTTCATTTGCTATACTAGAATCCTTCTTGAAGCAAAAGTAGCTGAATTTATTCTTTAAGTCATTAAATACTTGGATGCTGTGATAGTAATGGGAACTCAGCTTAGAGTACTTTTCTATAGGTTCCATGAGGAATAACCAGGTTCCCAGTTTTTGCTTTTACAATGAAAAACAGCAAGAACACAAAACTCGAGTGCTTTTTATAAGAGGTGAAAAGTTTCCTGCTCTGAGGGTTAAGTCCAAGTATGGTTTAGCCTAATTATCAGGTAAATATCATTATTTCCTTAATGCTGAATATCACAAATATGCTAGAGGCCAGTTCAAATCTGGAAAGACCCCAAGGATGAGATAAAAACATAATGCCATGTAGCACTTACTTGTACACTTATTTATATCTGGATATCGAGTTCCATAATATCCACTTGGACATGAAGAGAGACACACTCCAATCTGCTTCATGCCAATTCTTTCCAGAACAAAAAATAGTCTGGGCTTACATGACAAACATCCATTGTAATCTGAACACGTTGCACAGCCTCCTTGGCAGCCTTGACTGACGTTAGGATGCACTGAAGGGACAAATGCAGAAAGACAAAAACAAATGTTAAATTATAAATATAGAAATCCAATGACATTCTCTAGGCAGGAGATACACTTCGTTTCATTAGCTTTCATTTGGTGGCAATGGGTGAATGAGTTGGGATTTTCCCCTCTCTTTTCTATGATCTAGTGTTTCCCTTTAATACATACACACATTGTTTTTAATTTAATTAGAATTTGGGAATTTGGAAACTAAGAATATACTGCCTCAAACTATTTATAGATCACACACACACACACACACACACACAGTGAAAATATTCTCATTGAACTAGATCCCTGGAAGATTAGAGACTGGGTAATTTTGCACTAAAATCAGTGCACATTAGTTTGCTTGTCATTTATGTGATGGATGAAAAGCATGCATCTAATTTCTTCAAGCAAGGATGACAACATAGACGAAAACTTAACTTGAGTAAGGACACTTCCTTTTAGGATATCTTTTTTCAACTGTGGTCTATTAGAGAACACAGTTTTACTTTTTGCTCCAATGTAAATTGATTCTGAAATTATGTAGTTCCTTGGAACCCTCCCATGCTTTCTTAAAATATTTCCTCTCACATGAGTTTTATATTTATCAGTTCAAATTGATACAATGATGAAAATGTGATATTTATCTTACTAGTATTTCCACATGATCATATGTGGTTGTTTATATTACTAATTATAATTTATGATATTTATAATGTTCAACATTCTATCTTTGGGGAGAAAATTCTTATAGTTCTTTTGTCTTCATCTTCCATCTACTCAAGTGAAATATTTGTTTGGTGAGGACATGACACTAAAGACTATTGCTACACATATTCATGTGTGTGGTGAGCTTGTTCATTAGCAAGTCTGCATAAATATAAACAAATATGTGGAAGATTCATGTTTACTTAAGATCTTCACAACTTTAAATCTTCTTATGACTATTAACTGGTCATCAACACATACATTTGAGCTGAGGGGAAACTGCTGACTGATGTACATCTCTCACATATCTGGTATTTGGGATAATTTCTTCTCCTTGTGTATTCTGTGTTCAAATACAATATAAGTAGCTTTATTGTCCTTCTAGGAATCCAGAAGGGAAAAACTGTGACCATTATGAGAAACAAAGGTTGATGCACAGGAGTGCAAAGGCATCTCTGTGTATTCTGACTTCTTTTGTAGGTGGTGGTGGGGGTGGGTTGGGCTCTGATGGGCCTTGACATTGTCAGGTCTGACTTCAGAGTGATGTTTGGTTCTTGCTAAGTTCTTTACCACAAAAAAAAATCCCACCAGGCTTAGTTAGAAAGGGGTACCCATAAGCCCAATCAGCCTTACCACAGGGGTGCAAGGGTTAGCTACAGAGAGGTCATTTGGGTGATCAGCATCCTCTTCCTAGAGGAAACCATCCCTGAATCAGCCACAGGAACCACAAGCAGCTCATTCTCATTCCAGGACGTTTTGTAAATAAACTGAGGAAATGTGTGGGGGAAGGGAAGTCTGCTTTTCCTGTACATACTCCTCTATGGGGTGGGGCGGACATATAAAGTGGCACAGGAGGTTTAGACATTAGAGGACCTAGGGGACTTGTAAGTGAAAACTGTTTTCCAAGTAACAGGATCATTTTTCGTGCCAGTAAGTCAGCATTGGAGACTTACAGAAAATGTGTACATATTTTATGTAGGGAAAGACCCTAAAAAGAAAAGAGATGAAGAGAGCTTCCTGTGCTCAGAAGCTAGTTTGGTCCATTTTAAGACACGAGAGCTATAGGTAAAAACCTGTGAAAACTTCTCATAAGAAGTGCCTATAGAGAAGTGGACCTCACTTTGAAAGAAAATCACTCCAAGCCCAGGGCAGGAAGGGACTCTGAGTTTGAATGAAGATGGGTTTGACTGGTCCACAACAGCCTATCTCTATCTCTGAAATGCAGCTGCTCAAAGGAAACACAATTGCAATTTCAAGCACCTTGAAACATTTGTCAATTACAATATAACTTGAAATCAGCTATGAAAATAAGCATGATTTATATGCGCAAAGCCTCAGAAACTGATAAACCTTAAAATACATTTCATTTAAAATTGTAGATTTTGGATGTTTGGAAACTTATCCAGGAAAAGGCCCCATAAAAAGTCCCATGGTTGGTAACAGTTCCCACCAAAATTATGAGATGTGCCGAAGTACCTTGCTCAATTCTTTCTTTAAAACTTTCACTGATGAAATCTAACACAATCAACTCATAACATGTTGTGCTATATTCTTGTTTGTTTTTTTCATGTTTTGCCTTTTTAGACAAAAGTTTTTGGCAAAGTAGATTTTTGAAAAAGTAAAGAAGACATAATTGTCCTAATTGGGAAGGAAAATTTCTGTTTGTGTTTTATTAGGAAGTTTTGAATATGGGCAGGCACAAACGGTGGCAAACTTTATTTCTTCAGGAAGGTTTCAGTGTTATGCTGTGGGAAGTGGGAAAAATTCAGACTATGAAGCTCAGATTCTATGATTCTAAATTTTTTTCTTTTACAGTTGAGTAGTGGTTGTTTCTTAAATGCTGTACAAGGGTCACTCAAATTATACAGTCAGTATTACACAAGTAGGTACAAATTTCCCAAACTTCATCTGAAGGCAAGTTTTTACTTTTTACATAGAAACCACAGAAAGCTTTGGTCTGGATTGACTGTAACAACTCTTTCAGCCTTAAAATCTTAGGATTCTAAAGTCAGAAAATTAAATTCTACTTTTTCACACTTCTTCTTTTCCACTCTAATAATAACTTCATTTTGAATTTCTGAATCATCTTTTTTTCAAACGATGTTTTTGGACTATTATTTCATATGAGCAATGGAGGTGTTAATGGTGATGAGGTTTCATAGAATATCTAAGGTTTAAACCTAATCTTAGAAAACAAGTTGAACAAAACTAAAAGGCAACCTATAGAATGGGAGAAGATATTTGCAAATGACATATCAGATAAGGGGCTACTATCTAAGATCTATAAAGAACTTATCAAACTCAACACCCAAAAAACAAACAATCCAATCAAGAAATGGGCAGAAGACATGAACAGACATTTCTCCAAAGAAGACATACAAATGACCAACAGACACAAGAAAAATTGCTTCACATCACTTGGCATCAGGGAACTACAAATCAAAACCACAATGAGATACCACCTCACACCAGTCAGAATGGCTAAAACGAACAAGTCAGGAAACAACAAATGTTGGTGAGGATGTGGAGAAAGGGGAACCCTCTTACACTGTTGGTGGGAATGCAAGCTGGTACAGCCACTTTGGAAAATAGTATGGAGGTTCCTCAAGAAGTTAAAAATAGAGCTACCCTGGGGCACCTGGGTGGCTCAGTCGTTAAGCGTCTGCCTTCACCTCAGGTCATGATCCCAGGGTCCTGGGATCGAGAACCGCATTGGGCTCCCTGCTCGGTGGGAAGCCTGCTTCTCCCTCTCCCACTCCCCCTGCTTGTGTTCCCTCTCTTGCTGTGTCTCTCTCTGTCAAATAAATAAATAAAATCTTAAAAAAAAAAAAGAGCTACCCTATGACCCAGCAATTGCTCTACTAGGTATTTACCCCAAAGATACAAATGTATTGATCTGAAGGGGCACCTGCACCCCAATGTTTATAGCAGCAATGTCCACAATAGCCAAACTGTGGAAAGAGCTGAGATGTCCATCGACAGATGAATGGATAAAGAAGATGTGATGTATATATATACAATGGCATATTACTCGGTTATTAGAAAGGATGAATACTTACCATTTACATTGACATGAAAGGAACTGGAGGGTATTATGCTGAGTGAAATAAGTCAATCAGAGAAAGACAATTATCATTTGGTTTCACACATATGTGGAATATAAGAGACAGTGCATAGGATCATAGAGGAAGGGAGGGAAACTGAATGGGAAGTCATCAGAGAGGGAGAGAAACCATAAGAGACTCTTAGCTATAGGAAACAAACTGAGGGTTGCTGGAAGGGAGGGGCCAGGGGGAAGGAGTAACTGGGTGATGGTCATTAAGGAGGGCATGTGATGTGATGAGCACTGGGTGTTATACACAACTGATGAATTACTGAAATCTACATCTGAAATTAATGATGTACATATGTTGGTCAATTGAATTTAAATAAAAAAAGAAAATGAGTTGAAGTTATCACTATGTAAGTGGCCATGGTGGGGCTAGAGGAGGGAACACCCCAATTATCCACATCAAGAAGGAGACTGGCATGAGTTCAGTGCAACTGATCCCATGGCTTGGGATCACTGATTTTGCAGATTTTATGAAATATCCAGGAAGTGATGCTTAATAGATGGAACTTAATATTGTAATGGTTGCCAGAGATGTAAATGAGAGTCTCTAGCTGTAGCTACTTAATTAGAGAAGACATCTTGAAAGGGGAATTGAAGAATGCCAGAAGAAGGAAACATAGTCCAAAATAAGGGACATTTGGTAAGAGAAAAAGACATACTTTCAGCTGATTTTTAACAATACTTTGTATTTCTACACCACTTTTGCTTTCAAAGCATGCATCTCACAGGAAGCTAAATTAACTATGATAACTATTGTTAGTAAGGATAGAAGCCATCACAATTATTTATTTTGAAACCTCAAACTAGGACTCAAAGAAATGCTGAAACTGTAAGACAAATAGCAAGTTTATATCAAAGGTTAGAACCTAGATCTTTGATATCTGGTAACAATCTCTTTATGTATAAGTAAACTTTAGTTGTGTATGTAACAAGGTTAAATACGAATGGAAAAATGGGCAAAATTCATGGGAACTTTAAATTGGGACTTTCTTTTTACAAATGTGTCAAATACATGGTAAAATTAGTGTATCTTTCCCTAAAATTGGGAAATAGGAAAGCATCTTTTCTTAACTGGTATACAAAGTTTAAGTATGAAAAGAATATATATTAATGCATAACTTAAACCAATTTTCAGTGTCAGACTGTTGATACTCCCTGACTTCAATTTATGTAGTTGTT